GAGACTATATAAAAAAAAAAACTGAGTAACGCACCATGTAGTAACGGTAACTGAGTTACTGAATTAAAAAAATAACGCGTTAGAGTATGGCCATGACCAACACTGGTCATGACCGAAAGAACGAGATCGCGGATACAAGCGGCCGAGATGGGTTTTCTCCGCAGGGTGGCTGGTGTCTCCCTTAGGGATAAGGTGAGAAGTTCAGTCATCCGGGAGGGACTCAGAGTTGAACTGCTCCTCCTTCGCGTCGAAAGGAGCCAGTTGAGGTGGTTCAGGCACCTAGTAAGGATGCCACCTGGGCGCCTCCCTAGGGAGGTGTTCCAGGCACGTCCAGCTGGTCCCTAAGGTGCATGACATCAACGCGTTGGCATGGATGTGATACAACTTCCAGGATCTATAGTGTTGGCAAAAAACTAACGTTCCAGAAACTTGCAAATGGTGGATCGACCATCCAGACCTGTGCAAATGCGTTTCTGCTCCAAAATCAAATAATTGTAATTTGGACAAGACCAATGGATTTCTAGGCCCCCAAAACATACATTTAGACAAAAAATTAGGAGGAGTTAGGGTATTTTAAAGCCTGTTTTTCAGGCTCGAAAATGACATGCCCAGAACAAATGACTATATCTTCAGTTCTAATAGGGGTAAATTAATAATCTTTGTTCTCAAAGCAATAATAAACCTGTGAGTTGGATGAAGGACGGTCAGAATATATATATCGCTACCGTGAGTTATGTGCTAAGTGCGTTAGCACTCTTTCGCTTAGTGCTGTTTCAGACGCTTGGCGTTAGACTTGTGTTTTGTTTAGGTAAAAAAAATCATATCGTCAGTTAGCTAAGTTTCTTCCTGTTAAGTGGGTATGAAACATTAATAGGTTGTTAAATGTTAAGAAGCCCTGAGACACAGTTTCGTGAATATTGTTGTGTTTCAGGGTTTAAGGGATTTATTTTCAGCCATCTAAGTTGGATGCCATCTTGAAAATCACTCTGAATGTATGTTTGTGTTGCAGGAGGGACGATGAGCGTGGTGATGGATATCCACTCCTGGCTGGCTGTGATTATCTCTGCTGCTGTGGCCGTCCTCTACACTCTGATGGGAGGATTCTACTCCGTGGCCTACACTGATGTCATCCAGCTTTCCTTCATTATCGTCGGCTTGGTACAAACATTACATTTTTACCGCAGTATAGACGGCCCAATGTTGGTCCCCAGAGGATGATTCATACTAACTTAGCTAGGCTTATACTTTTTCCTCAAGCTCCTCCATCAGGTTAATATCTGAGGTGATAGGTCTTGCAAAATGTTGAATGGCCTGCCATAGAATTTTGTGTTAATTTGTCCTCTGTTTAAAACTAATATGAAATTGTAAGCATTTAAATACAATTAACTAAAATGGGAAACATGGGAAACTTTAAAGCTGCTAAACATCAGCATGTAAGCGTGTCAAAGTACAATGGGATAACTTAATTAGTATAATTAGTGTACTGATCAGTCTGATTAGACATTAAGCAGAGCAATTAACTAAAACTGAAATTGCAGTGCTAACCTAAACAATATTAAGGGTAAATTGGACAGGTAGGACCCAATTGCAGGACAGACAATGGCTTGAACTGAAATACCTTTATTTCAAGAACTCACTCCCCTGTAAACTCAAAGACAAAACCAACTAACAAATGTCTCTCCCTTGGGAAAGACTCAAGAATCCCACCACCACCACCAACAGAAAACCCGAACTTAGATACATGCAGAATCAGTAATCAGACAGGAGGGAAAACACACAGACAGGAAGCAGACACAGACAAAAGACAGGGGGTGAACACCTTTCAAAGCAAAACAGGAAAACAGACAGATCGTGACATAAATATTCAGTTTTTTTTTTTCTTCGGCTATATATGTAACAGAGAATAATTTCCAATGCCATTTGTTTCCAATATCCTGCAGCTCTAGTGGCTGGTAAGGTAAGGTAAGGTACGTTTATTCATATAGCCCATTTTCAGACACAGAGGCAATTCAAAGTGCTTTAAATCAAAATTAACACATAATAAATAGTAGTAATAGACAAAAGAAAGGAACACAATAAATAAACACAATGGAATAACAGATTCAGAAAAACCATGCATAAAAGAGATACAGAATAGTTTAACAACAACATTGTAAAAACAGTAGGTGCTAAAACAAGTTAAAAGACTTCTGGGTAAGCAGCTGAAAAAGGAAATGTTTTTGGCCTCAATTTAAAAGAACTCAGCGTTGGTGAAGACCTCAGGGTTTCTGGGAGTTTGTTGCATTGTGGGGAGCATAAAAACTAAAAGCAGCTTTGGCGTGTTTGGTTCTGAGCCCCCGATGATCTCAGAGCTCTGGGTGTCTGGTGTAATCTCTGTCAATGTAAGTATGATCTTTCATCCATATGCCGAACTGATAGTGTCTCTCTCATTTTTACAGTGGCTCTGTGTGCCATTTATCCTGGCTAGCCCCTCCTCTGCTAACTTCACTGTGGCGGCAGTCACTAAGCTGCACCAGGAGCCATGGATCGGTCGGCTGGAGCTGGAGGATGCAGGTCGCTGGGTGGAGGACATACTGCTGCTGGTACAGACACCTAAAACAACCATCAAGTACATATCCTAGAAATGCATTTCACCTCAAATCTCTTATGTAGTGAACATGCAGTATTAATTAAGACTGGAGTTCCTTTATTGGTCCCACATCAAAATTAGTACAGCAGGTAAGAAAGGCATGCAATAATACAAGTTACCCACTGCTCCTAACACTAGGATGGGTCAAATGCAGAGAAACCGTTTTGTTACTAGTACCTGTACTATGTAATGACAATAAAAGTAAAAAAAAAAAAAAGGACACCCGACAGGCTGATCAGCATGAAGGGTGTTCTTTTAAGGCCCGGACACACCAGGCCGAAATCGGCCGTTTTCGTTAGTCGGACGACGAAGCGTGCCCTGTCGCCCAAACTCAATTTGGTGTGTCCCGCACCGTCGGCCGTGACACGCCTTATTTGGCCTTTCATGGCCGACGCACGGCCC